AGCTCAAATGCAACTTTAATTCAAGTAATGATTTTTAAATTTATCAATTATCATTTCAGTTGCACTCTAAGAAGAGAAATTGTCTTTTGCAAAAGAAGTTGAATGATCTTGTATTCATTCAATATAACAAAAGACTAGAGAGGCGCTACAAGGGATAACAAATCTTCGGATCCTATTTTCTTGAGAGATGGAAGAAAATGATGATTGGGTGGTTCCAACCTACGTTAAGCTGCAAGAGTTTGTGGATGCAAGAGATGGCCTCCTTTGATCAGAAGTACGAGAAGCAATGGGAGGTAATGAACAAGTTGGGCCAAGTACAAGAAGTAAAAGGGAGCGCTATAGGGATGATGATCACGTTGGAGATGAAGGAGGAGAAGGGGAAGAGAGGGAAGCTAGCCTAAGCGAAGAAGTGAACGTATTAGATGATGTTGACTCAGATGTTGAACCTATTGCTTGCGATTAGCTCGTTTATGAACACTTTTCCTATTTTGCAAATGATATGTTTATGTAGGCATACTATATATATATATATATATATAATTCTAAGAAATATTATATGAACCGCTATTTTTGGATCTATACCACCGCTATAACCGCTATTTCAAATATCGGTCCCGACCGCATTTTTGTATTTTCACCACTATAACAGCATAGCAGCATAGTTCCAAAGTCACCCTCGACTACTGTTTAGGAATCATCACAAAACTAGCAAATTCCTTTCCCCTTCTTGTTTTTCCTTTCTTTTCCTAGCTGAGCTAAGGATCAATCTGAATCTTTTTCAAGTTGCATACGGTTTATGCTCTTCTGCCACTGTATATGATGGCAAAACAGTTTATTATAGTTCCTAATCCAGTCTCCTCATTGAAGTTCAGAAATTCAAGTTTCTAGGCCAAAATATCTCCTGAAGATCATGGATTGTTGTGTTTAGTCCTCCAAAGGCTCCCAATAAGCCAAACCAAACCAAACAGAAACAGTAAAGCCCACTCAAAAGTAGGGCCTAAGGGTGAGATGTACACAGACCTAACTTATACCCCAACAGGGTAGAGCGGCTGTTATCGTGAAGACCCCTGGATTGTGCAAGAGTGTGAGCAAACAGGTTGAAGGAATAAAGAGTAACATATAATGAAAAAAGCACAAAAAAGAATTAAGTAAGAAAAAGTAACAGGTAGGTGCATTGAAAACATACGAAAAGGTAAGGGAGACAGAACTCACACAGAGCAAGTAAGACCAAATAACACTTCCATCCTAAAACGCCAGCCTCTACCCCAACCTATCCAACTTCCTTGTGCCCAGCCCAGCCATGCTAGCTACCGTCCCCAAACCTAGTCTGCTACCATAGGCTCCCTTGTGTCCAACCACGTAGCTACCATCTCCAAAGGCTCCCAATACCAACTCCATAGTAAGATGTTCACCTTGGGCTTCCTTCACTGTGTTGTGATCCAGACTTCCATCCCTTTCGACATCTACTCTTCATCAAAGTAGACATTAATTCTTGTAACTAAGATGAAATTGCTGAGTAGTGTCATTTGGTCTTGCAACTTGGTTCAAATTGCTTGTTCTTTGATTATTGGTTGTCATGGCCTTCAAATTAAGCAATTCTCATATCAACACTTACAAACAGTGAGAAGAAATAACAGAGAAATGGAAATCAGAGATAGAGAAAAGAGAGAGAGAGAGATTTAGAAAGAGAAAATGCAAGGAAAATTAGATTTCACTCACTTTCTCCATGCCCACTACAACTATTTAATAGTTGAATAACCTCTTAATAACCAGACAATTTTACCATAAACCTCCTTCTAAAGCATATTTTAACCCATTATTTACACATAAAGTGTAAAGTCATAACAGATTTTTTTACTTATCCAGCTACACATCTATCACCCAATGTAATATGCACAATGCTTTCACATAAGCTTTCTTCTTGAAACCACCGACGGGCCCACTTACCCTTACCTGATAACACTCAAAAACTTAATTCTTACTTCTTTCGGTGAATATCATGCGCTCCTATCCGCTAATTAGCTATACTTATCTATGTATGCTTTCTACAAACTTCTTAAGCCTTACCCAATCAGAGTTGACTGAAGACGCCAAGTCATTTGATCCTTCTTGCAGTGAATAACATGCTGAAATACAACTAGTTAGCCATAATTATCTATATATGCTTCTACAAAATATTTCATAAACTCGCAACCTTTTTCTTGAACCCTCCTACTTTAGGAATAGATGGGAAATAGGATGATACCAGCTAATGATAGCCAAAACAAGTAGAAAGGCTCCAAGTCACCATCTTAGATAACCTATGTATCCATGTAGAAAGGCTCCAAGTCACCATCTTAGATAACCTATGTATCCATGNGTAGAAAGGCTCCAAGTCACCATCTTAGATAACCTATGTATCCATGTAGAAAGGCTCCAAGTCACCATCTTAGATAACCTATGTATCCATGACTTCGCATTACTCCTCTCCAGATATTAAAAGATATTAAAAAACGTCAGTTGCCATCACCAACAAAAACTTGATTGAGCCAATACATGTCCTAGTACATTCACAAAAATTGTAGTTTTCTCTTTGCAAGAAACTATAGGATTAAATACACACATTTCTTGAAGTAAGTACATCTAAGCCTCTATATAAATAAAACGCTACGATAAAAGTTCAAAGATGACACTATCTGGCATAATACATAGTAGTTTCATTGATTTGTCCAAAGTACAATCTCCATCTGAAGCTCACATCTGTCCAAAATAAACCACCCCTTCAATTTCATATACTTTAGAAGGAAATAGGTTAGGTTCATGTCAAGATGATCACAATAAGCTTCCAGTCTCTTAGTGCGTATAATTTGGTAAAGGGACTTGTTTTGGCACTTGCAAGTGTGAAGCTACTATTATCATGCATTGGAAATATCTATTACGGCGCTTGTAGTTCCATGCAAGAGACAAAAGTAGCCTGTGAAGCCATATTGCACTAACATTGAAGAAAAAAGCATACATTCCATATGAAGGCCAACACAATATTAAGTATGAAAGCTTCAGACTTAAGTAGCCACTATTGCAATAAAAAAATTCTATAAATCGCTCCCATGGAACATAGAGACATACCATCAATGACTTATAACAAAATTCACATGGACTTTGGGTTACTACAGTGTAAGCCAGTCGTGACCTTTTGTAAATGCCCTCTGTTCGAGAAGGTTTTTGTGGGTGTTAGATGTGCTTGAACGCAGGAAAGCTTCTATAGGGACCTGAAAATTTTCTCCATTTTGCTCAATTAGGGAGCAAAGGCACCCTTCCAAGGCATTGTCCCATTGTAGCATCAAAATACGTCCTCACTCCTTAGTGATAGGCTACCAGATAACATATTGCCACAAATTTGTTGAATTGGTAGTTGACATTCACCTTTGCCTATACAGTTTCACATTAATCTTTTCAATAGCATATCATTGTACGACACGGTGTTTTTTTCCTTACATGAGGGAGGAATAATGGAAGGTTACTTCAGGGTTCAGCTCTATGAACTATGTATACTCTAAACTCTACATTTGAGCATAAGGTTGATTACCGGCAAACCCCACCAGCCCCACATAGAACCCGCCCCTAGGAACATGTGAGGAGGCATTTCAAAGTTGACTCAGCGGCTGAGGCTGGCAGGGGGAGTTCAAGACCGTCTCCCGCAGAATTTGAAGTTGAACTTGTGATGTATTTGAGCATAGTCACTCCATCCCTTTGCCAATTGAGCTAAACGTCCGAGGGCTCTATACTTAAAAATCAAAGATGCTAAGAACTACGTATATACTTAATCTAGTGAAACAAAATGGAAAGAAAGGGGAGCAGCAGAGTTGAAGAACCAATCATGAATCATGTGACTGCTACCTATTGACATCAACAAAGTTCAACTGTTGTCTATACATGTACAATTAGAATTTTGTGTATGACATTGGTTTACCAAACTTCATGATTAGAGTTTTCTTAATAAAAGTATAATTAGAACTTCGTTTACAAAAGTATAACTAAAACTTTATTTATAAAAGTATAACTAGTATTCCATTTAGCTGGTCTCATCACATTTATCCAAATAGCTCTTCCTTAAGACTATACTACCAATCAAGTTCAAAGTCACTATCAAAACACTTTCAAGGGAATCACCTATGATCCATTTACTTTGTATCTGCATAGGCTATCAAGGACCACTTATTGACGGTGATGAACTTGCGTGTGTGGGAATTTGATGAAGATAAACAAGGGACGAAAAAGAAAAAACCAAATATTGGCACGCTGCTAATGATAGCTTATGTGCACAACGCCTGACTATTTTAACGTTAGAGGCTAATGTATATGGAGTGACAACAAAATGGCCAAGAGCTTCATTTAGGGACTCCCAATGAAAAACTATTAGTTGAGGGACGAAAAGTAAAAGGTTGAAGTCCAGGCCTCAAGGGACCCATTTGGAATCAATCTTTTTCCAGAACCATGAATGCAGATTTGATTAACATTATTAGCAGGCTGTTATGATCTCTCCCATCAATCATTCATGTTCATCCAATAGGCTTGTTATCAATGAATGTTATCACATCACAGAAAACTTATTAAATAATATAAGACATGGTACGAACACAAAGGTGTCCAAATAAATCACGTGAGTTAATTTAACAAAAATGGTTGATCCAAAGATCATCAAAATACAAGGACACATAAAAAGAGGGAAAGGCAGAACATAAGTAATCACTAAATCACAATAATATGAGAATCATGCAAGTTGTGATGCTTGAATGGTAGACTTACATATGGGCTTTAAACTATTACAGCCATCATACACTCACAAGTCACAACTAACAAGAAGCCACCAAAATTATATGGAAATAACATACACTAAACTAGATACTAGCTATCTTCCATCACCTTACAAACTTTAAGCATGCATAACTTCAAAATTTTACATGTCACCTGCAGGTCATATTAGATAAAGACTTTAAAGCAGAAGAGCTAGAAAGACTCACCAAACCATCCTTTTGATTCAGCAACCATCCAATAACTTTGTGCTTCACTTCGGGGACCTGCATCTTTACGAGTCTCACCACCACTAAACAACAACAAAGCCTCATCATCTCTAGCTGCACTCTCAATTCCCTCCTTTATATGTGCAACAAAAGTAGAAGCTTGGCCTGGATTCTTCTGATAAGATTCCAGAAACCATGAATCCTCCTTGTCAATTTGCTCATAACTACTACTCGTATATATTGAATGCCCAGCAACCATGACAAGATTACGAAGCTTCGGAAATGGGTAAGAATTATCCATGCTACTGTCAAACTTCTTATAATTAGTCATCATCTGAAAATGGCTGGTATAAAGAGAGAGGACTACGAGAGTGGTGACCCCGAATGACAAAAAGATCAGGAAAAGCATCACAGGGTGTAGCTTGTAGTAGTACAAAACTCGATTTCCAAAAGATTTGATCATTATAATGGGATGAAATGATGAATGTTTAGGCTTTCTTGTTTTTCTAACGGTACTCGACTCTAGATCAAAATCACCTCTTGGATAGGCACTAAAGGACTTCGGACTATCTGATGCAAATTGATAGTTTATCATTATCGATGACAATCAAAGCATACCTAAACAATGGCTCATCTGAAATTAGGTTCACAAATGAGATCTCGATCCATACCCTGATACCCAGCTAAAAAATTACAGGGGGATCCAAGAACAAATCATCAGTAAGCGAATGAGAATGAAGATCCAAGCAATGATTGTCAGAATTTTAGGTTCGAAAGAACCCAATTAACCGGGCACCAAAGTGAATTTAGCACATAAATGATCTCCCAAAAAGAAAGCTGATTATAAACTAGGGCTTCCAAAATTTGAGATCTCAATTTACCTAAAACAAGTTCATAATGCAGATTTTGGAACACCAGAAATCAACCAGATGGATGCAATTCAGATCATAATTCCTGTTTTGAGTTTGGAACAAAGGAAGATCATCATCGTCCTCTTAAGTAGAGATATATCACTTAGACCCCCTACATTACTAGAAAATAGCAAAAAGAACCCCAAATATTTTCAAAACTATCAAGTAGACCCTCATATTAATTTACACATGAAAATCTCATTCGTTTTCGGTGATGAATTAACGAAACCCGACATGTTTTATCGAGTAATATATTTAGGGCCCGTTTGGTTTGATGGAATGTTTTTTAAGGAAATTTCATGTGAGATCTCCAAATCTCATGTTTGTTGGATTTCAGATCTCAGGATTCTTTCAGTCGTGGTCTGGGGGCGACGCGATGCGTGATGCCCAGGCAGACGTGCCCTCGGTCGAATGGTTTCCGGAGGCGTTTACGGCCGTTTCATGATCAAACGGGCACGGATTTGGACAGGAGAATAGTGTTTGCCTGGCATAGTTTCTTTAAAAATAACAAGGTGGTTTATAGTTTGTTTGAATAGTGTGTATCTTTGTACTAGTTTCGAATAGGGTGGATACAGTGGATAAGGCAGTCGATTGTAAACAATACACAGTGTCTGAGTTCATTCCCGTTGTTTGACAAACTTATTTGTTTTCTCTCCAAGACTTAGATCCGGCTCTGAACAAACTTTTCTAGTTCACCCTAACATTCTCGACTTATTCGACTACTGCTCAGTACTTTATGCATGCCAAAAGAACCTCCCTAGAAGGTAATTTCAATGTGGTCAATTTTCATTCTTTTGCAATCAGTTTCGTTAGAGCATCTACTGTTCTAGCTAACTGTCTATCATTTCCATGTGTGATTTCTAGGGTTGTAAACGAATCGAACGAACACGAACAGAGACTTGTTCATGTTCGTTCGTTTAACTTAACCGAACGAACGAACACGAACGGTAAACTAATGAAAATCTTTTTGTTCGTGTTCGTTTGTTTAGAAATCAGGTGTGTTCGTGTTTGTTTATGTTCGTTTGTTAACATGCTAAACGAACAAACATAAACGAAGTAGCTAAACGAACATAAATAAATATTATTTGAATCCAAAGTAAATAAATAAAAGATTATATATTAAATTTAATATATAAACGAATATAAAGAAACGTAAACGAATAGTAAATGAACGAACGTTCACGAACATAAATGAACGAAAGAGACTATTGTTCATGTTCGTTCGTTTAACTAAACGAACAAAAAAAATGTTCATATTCGTTCATTTACTAAATAAACACACATAAACGAACTTCCCGCCGAACGGTTCATGAACGGTTCGCTGAACGTTCGGTACGTTTACAGCCTTAATGATTTCTATGTTATGTATAGTCGTACCTAAGGGCAGATCAGTTGAACTAGAATCTTCTTTATATCAATTTCTATTATAGGTTTATATATCATTTTTCCAATTATTTATGAAGTTCTATTTCGGATTTAATTTCAATCAAAAATAGATAAAAATTAGAATTGTGATTATTTATTCCTATTATTTCAAAATTAAGGGGAAAAAAAATAACACACATACTGATAATAGGGTGGATATATAAGAGCATCTCTAATGCAAAAGTTTTTAAAAATAAATCACCTTTCAATGCAAAAACCTTTTAAAAAACATTTTCGTCAATTATATTAATAATCTATTCTCGTCTATTTAAAATGTTTTAAAAGGCCCTGATATAATTTGTCGCCTCAAAAACAAACAAAAATAAAAGATAACTATGTTGATACAAAAGTATAATGGCAAGGACACAAATAATCAATACGTTAAAAAAATGAAAATAGATGATATATATATATATATAGAGAGAGAGAGAGAGGGGGGGAGATTATTATACAACCTTTGATATTCTTACAGCCAATACAACCATCATCTCATCCATTCAATTTTTAATCTATGGTCAAGATGCATTCGATGGCAAAATTGTAATAAAATCAAAAACGTGATACACGCGCCTGATAGATTGAGGGCAACGAAGGGTAAAATTGGAACGGGTAAATTGCATCTATTCTAAGCAGTGATACTATGAAATTAAGAATGCGATAATCACTCTACATGATATGCAATTAGCGAGATTCATTGAAGGAATACGATTATGTAGAACAAGAGATGGCAGACAAGGTTCAACTGGGTATAGTCATTGTAGGAAATCGAGGTAAGAATTTGGTTGATTACATTTAGTATAATGTTTTTATATAACCTTATTGTGCGATATCTCTATGAATTAGTCCGGAAAAGGAGCGAGCGAATCATGATAAGGAATTATTTCTCTAAGTTCAAGAACACTGCTGCAAATCCAGTTGTTCTAGACGAAGAAGAACTTGATAGATTTGTAGTGAACCCAGAAGCAGTTCAAACTGCTGAACCAATTCTTCCAGTCCAAGAAGCAGAGGATTCAACATATGTCAAGGGTTAGTAAAATTGAACCTTTATTCTTACCGTAATGTTTACTACTCCAATTTCTTGACCTAACGAATCTTGCTACCAATACAACTAAGAAGATACTAATGACTAGGTGTTGATGAGTAGATGTTGATGTTTGTTCCTAAATGTAAACAGTGGGAGTATCAGCATCTAGTCATCAACACTGTTAATGGGCAACTGTATAAACTCATTTCCAATGAGAAGCTTATGAAACCAGATTCATAACCAGGGTCATTTAATATGCGAACGTGATCATGGATGACCTTAGGACGACATGCATTAATGGCCAGTTATGGAGATACGATACAGTAACAAACCAAAAAAAGTTGTTAGGCATTGTAGATGCTTCTTCAAAGTAGTGCATTGCATATTACCTACACACCTTATTACATACCTTCAAATACTTGATTACGAAGTCAAACCAAAAAAAGTTGTTAAAGATGATTTTTACCAATTAGGGTTATTTTGATTCCAACCATGGTAATAGACTTCGAAGAGGGTCATCTAAAATAAGATAACCTTATGAGGCAAACCCCATGAATTGACACAAAGACATCCAATCCACCGTTTAATACACTTCACTTTGTTCAAATCTTTAAACTCTTCATTAATGTGGGATAACTAAAACTCAACCACAATTCACCATTTGAGAATATTCACTTCTCATGGTGTTACCTCAATACTCCAAAGTTTTCCTTATATATATAAAGATGATTTTTACCATTTGGTTGCTTTTGATTTCAATCATAGTTATAGATTTCAAAGAGGGTCATCCAAAATAAGACAACTTTATGATGCAAACCCCACCAATTGACACAAATGCATTCAATCCACCTTTTTTATACACTTCAATTTATTCAGCTATTTCAACTCTTCACCAATGTGGGACAACTAAAACTCAACCACAATTCACCACTTGAACATACTTAATTCTAATGATGCCACCTCAATAACATTTTTGTACTTTCAAAAAACATAGTATGTAAAAAATCGATGGTCAAAAGATTTTACTGAAATTTTCAACATGGACAATTACATGAGAAGGTCTTAAATTGAATTTTTGTTGTATCATTCAATAGACTTCTTGCAATATTCAAGAGAATTCATTGCTAAATCACATTGATCCAAAAGAGATAATTATATCACTAGGATTTACACTTTAACATTCAACTTAATCTTGTAATTGATTTATTTTTTGTGAGTTAATTCACCAACTTCTTGCTTAGAAAACTGTAACATCCTTACTATCATCGTGACAGCGTTATGACATGATTTACTTAAAACTAATGTTCGGCACTGCAGATTGAACGACGACTATAGATTTTTAAAAATTATTGAAGTTAAATAGGTTGATGATCGCATATCAGATATTAATTAAACTGATAAGAATAGATATTGCACTTGATATGAAGTCACCTCATCATCCTCAGTTGTTTTTTAGTATTATAATTAAATAATAATTTGTATATATATCGATCTTTCCTTATATCAAACTTTGTGATTTGCTCAAAATGATAATAGAAATGTGTGAGATTATTGATTATAATGATGAGCTGTATAATGGAGATTTTTTTGTCATAAATATATCAATTTATCTCCTACATATATTTTCATAAAATATTTATATGCACCACACAAATGCAATATTGTTACTCAGTTTTGTATATATTATTGCGAATATTTTTATAATTTGCTTACATTTGTTATAGTGTACTCATTTGCAACTTTGTCCAACAATCCTCCTCAAAACCCCCCTTCCGTTCTACATTGAACTAAGAGTTATAGTAGTCGTTAGTATTGTGACCACTTCGCCTGTAGGCAAATCCAATTGAATTGTTTAATTTTTCATTTGACTGGTGAAAGGCTGAAAGCGAGGGGGAAGGGTGTCTGAAACAAAGAGATGAGAGATCTATGTTTTTCATGGTCGATGACCGACGACGGAGATGGTGATTGAAGGGGCTGAGTCGGAAGTAGACCTGAGAGGTTAGCAAGGGTTTGTAGATCTGAGAGGATGACGATGTAGATGTATATATATATATATATATATACACACACACATAAAAAAAACAAAATGGGATAAAGATAAATTTAAAAATAAAAAGACTAAAATACCCCTGGACTTAACCGAGTTAAAGAAATATATTTGATTTTGTTAGAGGGAGAGACTTACGGTTTTTTGGCAGTTGCTGAATAGTTTGGTGCATAATGATTAAGTGGTCA